GTTTTCTTCAAGAAGAGGTGTTCATGACTTAACCACGTGGCTTTGAAAAACAAGATCTCACTCTACTGTGTAAGCTGCATAAAGCCATATATGAACTTAAACATACTCTAAGGGCCTGGTATGAAAACTTGACTCAAGCACTCTTACAATTTGGCTTCCTAAACAACAAATGTGACCAATTCCTATTCATCTACTTTCATCAGGATATCACTAGGTATGCTTTGGTCTATGTTGATGATATCCTGCTTACAGGGATTTCTTTTACCTTGATTCACAAACTCATTAACTCTCTTCATACCACTTTTTCTCTCAAGAGGAAACCTAAGTATTTTTTAGGCATCAAAGTCGATCACTTTCTAACTGGTTGTATGCTTCAAACACAGACCAAATACATTAGAGACTTACTCACTCAAGCTAAAATGTGCAACGCAAATGGGATCATTACACATATGCATATTACTTGCAATCTTAGTAAGCATGAATTATCATCACTGTCAGGTCTTCATCACTACATATCAATGGTTTTAGCGTTACAATATGTCACACTTACAAGACTTGAAATTGCTTTTAATGTGAATAAATCATGTCAATTCATGGCATCTCCTTCGGAATCTCATTAGACTGTTGTTAAGAGGATCTTGCGATATCTAAGTGGCATCATTACTCATGGCTTACTTCTCACTCCAACTACCTTATCATACAAGTTCTCTCAAATGGCCAATAGCAACTATGATTAGACTTGTGACCCTCATGATCGCATATCTACCTCTAGATCATATATCTTTTTTTACTCATCCCTCATTTCGTGAAGCTTAAAGAAACAACCTTTTATTTTTAGATTGAGCATTGAAGCAGAGTATCATTGTCCTAGCATACACTACTTCATAATTGTTGTAGGTAGAGTCTCTTCTAAATGAACTTCTCATGATATTTCGTCCTTCTACCCTTCTATATGATAATATCATCGCAGTTCTCTTGTCACACTATCTTATGCTACATGCTAGAACAAAACAGATAGAATTAGACATTCATTTTGTTCGTGAAAGAGTTATTGTAAAGAGAATGAAGATCCAACATATTTTTAATAGTGTGCAAGTTGCAAACACCGTTACAAAACCGCTTGGTACAATTACATTTCAAGATCCTCAAACCAAGCTCAAATTCATGACTTTAATTTTGTAAGAGAGTATTAGAAGAAGAGGGCAAGTTAGGACATGTTAGTGTTGCATGAGATGTATTACATCATGCACTTGTTTGAAGGATTGTGTAAGCCATCATGCATATGTGTAGAAGAATTGATGCGGTGACATGATCATTCTCAACATAAGCATTCCATACATTCCATTCATGAATTTCTATAAATACGAGTGTTATGCATGGTAAGAAACTAATTCATTATCCACAATGCTAAATGAATTTCATACATTCTATTACCCATAGGTTGGCCTTGTTCTATAAAGTTTGATGGCCATCTCTTTTTCCAATACCATCCTTCCTATTTCTTAATATAATAATTACTTTTAAAAATTTGATTAAGTACTTTCTTCAATTTTTATTATGATGTAAAATTACTTTTTAAATTTATTAAATAATTTATATATTTGAATTAAATATATCGTAAAAGTTAAATGTATTTAAAAAAATATTTTTTCTAACTATACCGGGTCAGCCTAACACATTTAGATTAATAATTTTAAATTTTAAAATTTTTAAAATGTAAAAATATTAAATTATTCTAATCAATTTTATTTATTATTTTATTTTCAATTGATAATAAAATCAACACATCTAAATACTCTACTAATCACTTAAAATAATCATAATTAAAATATTAACAAAGTTTTAAAAAAAACCTTAAATTTTAAGTATTCTTTTTAGGCAAGAGGATTTAAATATTTATTATTTATAATTATGGTCTTTATCAGGACTCTTTTGAGAGCTTGCAAGACTGATTATGCGATAGAGTCTAAAAAATTTCACGGTTAAGTTGTAGCTAAAAAATATTTTAAAATTATTAATTATGTTTAAATAATAACAAAATAAGATCCCTACTTATTTTTCGCAGTTGAACCATATTTAAATCACACAAAATTTCTGAAAATTTAAAATAACTTTAATTTTTAAATTAATCAATTATATAATATGTATCTTAAATAATTATTATTGTCATACATTCATAAAAGATGCTTGTCTAGAAAATAATTTAATTTAAAAAAAATCAATTAATCAATTAATCAATATATATATATATATATATAATGAGACTCTTGATGGACTATTCCTAAGGCGGCCCTTCACTACTTTCTAATCATTAAATCATTCTATCTAATTATGACGATGTATAATAATCATGATATCAATATTCGTTCAATCTTTAATTTTCTTAAACTTTATATAGAAATCTTAAAAAATATATATACATTTTTTGAGATGGAGTATATGGTAAAGTCAAAAGTGTGGTATAAATACTTGAAATAAAAATTGGACTTCAGATCACGTGCAGCATTTTATGAGTGATTTGTACACAACCGACAATATTACGTAGCAAAAATATAAAGATCTTATTCTTATTTTTAAATGAGAAATATACGAAGTAGGAAGTCAATGAGTGGGTTCTCGTCAAATATAATGTCCTTTCATTCTCCATGTACTATTCTCATGATAATACGTTATTAAAACCGTGTGCTGCTGTGAAAGGATTTGGTTAATTGACTTATGTGAGATCTTGTTTTAAAAAGGAAGAAGAAAAAAAGTAACATAATATAATGCTGTTGAAGGAAAATCCTGAATAATCAAGAAAAATACAGTAGATAAAATTATTTATAAAAAAAAAAGTCATTATGATGAATCATTATAGATAGTCATGAATTAGAGATCATCTTTAATTAATTCTATATTTTATAATTATATTCAATCAAAATAATTTGAGATATTATTTTCGTATGCGTAGGAGAGAAAATCTCATCTAAATTATTTATATCTTTCAACATGGTTTATTATTAAATTGACCGATTTTATAATCATCTTATCACAAACAACTTTTAACGTTATTAAAATGATCTCAACTTCTCATCTAGAAACTATAATTGTTTCATATCAAAGATCAAAAGGTAATATTCATCACTATTATTATGAATCACTATCATTAAATAGCTTAAAGGATAGTAGCTCAAATCGTACTAATTTCTTTTATTTAAATCTAAAATTTTAAAGTTGATAATTCTTTCCGATAAAATAATCTCTTATTCTATTCTTTATATAAAATTTAAACATCATTAATTATATGGAGGTCTGGAAGACACCATAAATATTAATCGATGACTTATAACCAATTTGATATTCTTTGTTTATTAATATGATAACCAATTTGATATTCTTTGTTTATTAATATGTACTCTCAATGGCTTTATTGTTAAAAATAATGTAGAAAATTTTTCAATATATTTCTTAAAACTCGAGATATTTATTGTATTTAATATATATATATATATATATATATATATATATATATATATATATATATATATATATATATATATATATATATATATATATATATATATATATATATATCATTTTTCATTCACCGTGAGATAAACGATCCCCTTTATCAATTTTATAAATTGAATTATTTTAAGCCTTTATTCATTCAAAACTGAACCAGTTCAAATTTTAGAGTCCACTTAAAAATTGTGAATTTTATTTATTTTTTTCCTCACTTTTCAATTGCCTTTATTCATTCAAAACTGGACTACTTTGATTAGTTCATTTTTTAGAAAAAGTAATCAAATTTAATACTCCAGTAAATTCATCAAATTTAAAGATCCAAAATAAATTACATTTATCTTCTCAAGATATAGTTTATTTTTCATTATTTACTTGACACTCCTCAAGATATACTCATTCTTCCAAACTTCCATTTCCAACCTGACTTTTTCATGATAATCACATTTAACATGCTGCATCTTTCTTATTTCTAATGGAACTGTATGAAACAAACTCATCTAGCATAAAACATTAAAAAATCACATCACTGAAACAAACTCATCTAGCATAAAACATTAAAAAATCACATCACTGAAACAAACTCATCTAGCATAAAACATTAAAAAATCACATCACTGAAACAAACTCATCTAGCATAAAACATTAAAAAATCACATCACTGAAACAAAATACTAATATTAATTAGAATAACTCACAAGTATCAACATATCTTTATTTCTAAGTTCAATCGTCTCCTCTTTTTGTCTCATCGTAGTTTGTTGTTGCGTGTTCCAATTCCTTGTTCTTACTCGGACTAAACATATAACATATCAATAATCTTTCATATTTGATTGTCGCTTGTTCCAATTCCTAATTATTACGCAGGGGACAATGTACTCAATAAATTGAAGATAGAAAACTGTTGTATAACTTGTTTATAATATACCCAATTAAATTAAATGTCTTTATTGTACTGCAAAACAGTGTCGAAGACCCAAAACTCCAAGGACTTTTCTCTTGGAAACACAATACCAGCACATTGTCATTGATATTGATAATTGATAATATAATACATTGGAAATTACAGTCAACACCCTCCAAATATACATGCAGTCCCAGCATGAGCTTATGTCCTTTAACCAGCAAATAAAGAGCCTCTGTGAATATCTTTGTTAAGAAGATATTGCAAGATTTTGTAGAATACAAACCAGCTTTTGATGAATGCTTTAAGGGCAAGAGTAATACCACATAAGAGGTCCTAAAAGTCAGCATGGAGGGAGTCACAGAGCAAAGCACCAATGTCATTTCTTATGACACTTCTTCATATCAACTATACTTGAGAAAACTAAAATCAACCAGGCGGGTCACATAACAAAGCAACAAGAGCCCTGAAACTCTAACAAGATCAAAAAGCATGAACAGCCAGCCAGCATGGGTCAAAGTTGTTACAAACACAACCTTAATCTTACAGATTGTGTTTTGGAACCAAGAACAATGTATCAAACGTATGCATTCTAATCTGAATCAGATGATAATTGAGGAGGACTCAATGTAGCAACCATTTTAGACAACATCTCCTGCATTTCTACGAGTTCTTCTTTTTCAAACCCCCAACTCCTAAGTAACTCTGCCCCTGCTGCTCCTCGCGTAAGTCCATACCGGTGAAGATTTTGCAGTTTATTCTCCAGAAGTGGTAAGACAGCGCTGCTGGAACGTAATCTGGCAGCCATGGGAATGGAATGGACGTCAAGGGATCCTTTTGATGAAGAATTAGTCAGTTGGCTGCTAATCATTTCACCGTGCTTGCCCACTTGATTTCCAAAGATTGATGGAAAAGGCAAGGGAATGGGCAGAGGACAAAGAGCAACAGATAGATGGCAGAACATTGGCCTTGTATTGGCACACTCAAAAGCAGCATCCACTGAATCTTTTACTTCACAAACTGAAGCGCGACGACCTTCTACTGATCCAAAATAGCAAAGGGGTTGAGATGAAAATAATCATGCAGAAAACAGAAATTCAGAAGAAACAGAAGATAAAAGTCGACTAAGTAATGAAGATAAATCATTTTGACAATTCTTTGCTTGGTGGTGTGCTTATTAGCTACATGGCAAGATCATTGAAGTGGATAATAATATTTAAATTTAGAAAACTATGACAAGAACATACAAGACAAGTCAATGATTAATAAATCTCAACGGAAATACCTGATGCAAAAGCTCCATGTACTGTCCAGTGTTCAATTGCCTGTATGTCTTCACCATCCTCAGAAATCATTGGGGTCAACGGCTGAAAATTTTCTAACAAAGACACTTCATTCTGTCCCCCTGAATTTCAACAATAAGACCAATCAAAAACATTTCTTATCAAGATTAACTCAAATTATTCATATGTACCAGTTAAAGCAGGTGTTGGCATGGAAACATCCAGAATTGACACCATACTCTGCCTTCCTTGCCCTGATAACATTTGAATAAGTCCATGAAAATCCACAGCCCCAGAAACAGAACATGCATCAGCATTAGGCCCAACTGGTAACATTCGGAATGGAAGACTAATGGAGTGCAGTGCAGCAGCATAAACGGCACTTGAGTGGTAATGCTTCTCATCTTCAATGTGGAGGAACTTGGAAGCTCTACCTATGAAATTTAATGATAAGAAAAACTTTAGATCAGAATAAAGACATTATAAGAAGGTTCGGTATTATTGAATAAGAGAATTGGAATCTATAATTTATGCGTCAATTAGCCAACACCAATACACTTTGACCTCAGTGAAGAAATTGCAGTCATATTGGAGTAGGGAACAAAGCAAAACAAGGCCCGTCAATGACCATTTAAGTTTAACCAGTATCGGCAAATTAATCATTATTTGCTGCGTATTATCAAGGATAGATATTGCCTAATAAATTCGAGTGGTAAAAAGATCAACTCTACATTAAAAAAAAAAGAGTATATACAGTTACCTAATGAGGGCAGACCAACAGGTACCATTAGTTTACAGTAGGAGGATAGTCTTGAAAATGATATAGCATCATGAAGCTCCTCTAAGATTGTACGCTTCCTAGTCTGAAGACTTGCTCGTGAACCAGAACCACGGGCAGCATACAGGAGGACAGGAGTGTTTGTATACTCATCCACAATGTTTTCTAGAAACTCAGCACCCACAGAAGAGAAACCTCCAGAGTCATCAACTATAAATTGAAATCCCTGCCAAATTTTAAAGAATTATTGTTCAAGGAACATCAAAGCAAACTGAGTTTTTTTAAAAGCCTAACGGAAAAGGGCTATGGCTAAGATCAAAATACCACGTGTTCAGTGAGTATAACAATAGTACCATCATTATTAAAATATCAAACTGAAGTAGACAAAGCTAAAAAACAAAGTAGGTTTGTGGATTATGAAATTATAATATTTCTGTGTCCGACTGCCGTAGCTTTTACAGAATTACGACTATTGTACTTTAATTTACAGGTTCTATTAAAGTTTATGAAATACTTCGTCCACTGTAAAATATAATGCATAGAAATAATTAATCTAGTCCATTAAATAGAAACATCATTATCTACATAAGCAAATGAAAAGGAATACAAATCCACTGAAAAATGAAAACATAAAAAATTTTAAAAAAAATTTTAAAAAAAAAACAGATGTTTTAGATACTTCCTCCGTTCAATGTTTCATTACAAGAGTAAAATGTGAAGATATGTGAGAACTATTCCCTAAACTGGCTACTAGATTAAAAAAGGAAAAATAGTTACCTGTACATGGTCACATTCTTCAACAAAATAACGAAGCCTATCACTAATTTCTTCCCCTTGGGAAGCCCAAGAAAAAGAATCCCTTCCTATTCCATAATTGTCAAATTCCTCAACATCCTTCCAAACTCCATTTAATTCATATAGACTTTGGGGATGGAAATGTACTTTTGAGTAATCTGTCCAAAACTGAACTCCATTTTCTAGACTCTCAGTTATATCCTTATCCTGATACTCACTTGCAGAACCACTGTTTGAAATATTTGTCTCATTTACCATATTTTGGTTTTCCTCTTCATAAAGACTTTGTAGAAACAAATTTTTTTTCCGAGGTTCAGAGGCTTGGGTTGAAACACTACCAGTCCTGCACATAGGTCTATGGACATTAGATGCATTTGAACATAATTTTAAACCAAGAGTCTATGGAGACACAACTGATGAAGTAGGAATGGTTGTCCAACGGCAAAAAGATACGACAAAACAGAATATCTTCAAGTAGAGAACAGACCATTTTTTATTTCATGCATACTCTTAAATCTGATATTTTTTGAGTGTCTGTAGCAAAGATCTGACAGTTTTCAGGTATTGCCTATATCAACAACCTAAAGATTGCTAATATTAACAAAAGAACTGTTATAAATGCATCACCAATTTTCTAGAAGCTAATAGTTTAGAGAAAATTCACACGACAGAAATCAAAGTTCACAATAATGTCAATGTTAGACTTCCTTCCTCAATCCTCTACAGTTTCTATACTCTATATTCTTTATCATTGAACCTTCATTATAAAAGCATAGGCTAAAAGTTCTCACCAAGTGAAAACATCTGATGTTGTCGGAGCAACCTCCTTATATAGCGTACCACGTGAACTCATAGATCCAAGGGATCCTGAAAAGTTTAACAAATTCGAAAAAATAGATTAAAATGGGTGTAGCATGAGATTGTGTTTGCACTAAAAAGAATAATGGAGAAGAGATTATACAATTAATTTTATACTAAAATATTTTTACAGGGCTACATGCTATCATGATGATATCAACAGAAGACAAAAATGTAAGATAGAGCAAAATCAAATGGAAGGTAAGGATTTTAGTTGAGATTAAATCTGACATCCAAAGAGGAAACACCAGATAAGCAAGATGTTGCATGTCCTCCAACTCCATAAAGGTAAGGCTAGCAATGTTGCAGAAAAAGTTTAAATATGTGGGAATCATGTCAAAAGCAAACATCTGGAATTGTCTTCAGTGAAAAGTCAACAATCTCAATAATACATTCCCCCCATCTCATAAAAAGTGTCTCATTTGTAATATTTTTGTCTCAAAACAGTAATTGTCAGTTTAGAATACCAATGAAGTACTAATTTTTCTGCACTAATGAACTCTATTAATTACCTAACCATTCAACAAACTAAAGTTAATAAGGGTGTTTTAGTCGTGACACATTATATTACCATTAAAATCAAGTTAACTAATCAATTTCTTAAGAACCAAACACACACCAAATAGGTCACAATTTATGAGACGGAGGGAGTCCTTTTTACTATCAAGATATCGTGTAAATTATCTTTCGCATTAAGAAAATAAGTTTTCTTCTGCTTTCGAAATTGTAAGTTTTAATTATAATATAATCGATCCTCTTGTTTATATTGTTTACAATTTTCCTATCAACTTAACATGCTCATCTGATTCCTATTTCAACACAAAAACCATTTAATTTGATTCACAGCATCACTGAACCTTTGCACCAAACGAAATAGGTCCTACTACACGCTAGTACAAAGTTTTATGATCCACTATTTCTTTTCATAATTCAGTTGAATGTAAAACTGACCATAAACCATTCACAACCACATATTGGTGTCAACTTAATAAACAACAATACCAACAAATAGATCTAATGAAAAGGACAAAATTCACACTGATAGGTTTTTTCAGTATAAAAGCAAATAAATTAAATACCTCTCATGTTTATTGAGACTACGCGAGGAGTGTATGTATCGATGCCCTGCACACATTTAAGCAAAATGGTATAAGCATAAGTAGAACAGCTAATGCTTCTAATCTATAAACTCGTCATTTGTTGCAATTTTAACTACTACAAAAATTATCCATCTAGACATTCAAGTACTAGTTATTAGTTAATAGTTAACTCGCAAAAGAACCTATTTCACCACTACTTAAAGGTTAGCATTGGTGCACAGGGATAAAACACATGGAAGGAATGGAGCACGTAATTCTAGATTGAAGTCTACAACCCCAATCACATCTGCAATATAAAGGCTTTCAAGGTCTATGCAATGCCATCACAACCGCAATCCGGCCACATTTGCCTACACTTTGCTGCAATGTCAAGGTTCGCAGCATAACTACAATATACAGCCAACCAACTAGATAAACCGAAATACAAACAAGACCCTATACAATAACCTTCCATCAAAAAACTAATAATCAAATAGAAAATCTATTTTTTTCTTGTCAAAATAATAACAATAATGCTTGAAACATATATAAACTACAAAAAATTGCACCTGATGTGTCTCACCAGTACGATAAAGCACATCCATGTTAAGATCCTGATTTTTGAAGACTGAATCAGCTTGAGGATCCCCAGCCAACCCAATCAACTCATCCTAACAATTGAGCACACATTAATTATTGCATAATCAGAAAGAAAAGAAAAAAGCAATTCAAATTCAAACCATTGGAAACAAATAAGCATAGCAGACAGAATGTGAAGTGGATAAAATTTCTATCATTAAATCGTAAAAAAATAACATATACTACAAACCTGAAAGTTCCAGAAGTGAGAGCCAATATAATTGGCATAATCACCAACTTGAATAGTAACAATTTCTTTCATTTTCGCTTCCTATAACAGATGCAAAGTAGCATAACCGCATTAATTTCTTCAAAGCAAGAAAAACAGAAGAGTTTATTTCAGAAATTTAACATAGAACGCTAAGTTAAAATTTTACCTTAGGTTATGGTGGCAGAAATCTAGTGGTTCACAGAGATGAAGAACTTCCTGCTCTTTGAAGGAGACTAACACGCAGTGAAGAACAAACAGATACGACGCGGGGCACGGCGGAGTAGAGACACGTGTAGTGACAGAAATGGGCGGTAGTGGAGACAGCCACAGCGGAGCACGAGCGCGGAGGGAGCTACAAGGTTTGTGGTTTAGAAGGTCAAATATAAAATTAGAAATTTAAGTTTTTTTTAAACGTTCGTCCTCTGTGTTAATCTATTTATCATAAACGGAACACATATTACGTTTAATAGCGAAATCTGTCATTTTATTTTATTTTTTATCTATTTTTTAATTTCAGGTAGTTTTTAATTTTTTAATTTTTTTTTTTTAACTAGAAGGAACTGAATGTTATATTTTAAAAACATATGGAACGTGAGTATTACAAATTAAAATATAATTTATTATTTTATACTATTTTGAATCTTAAACAATAACTGATGTGTTGTTTTACACTATTTTGAATCTTAAACAAGTATAAGACAGTATACTAAGCATTAAATAATCTAAATATTGTCAAAAGCATTGTTATAATGTTATAAACAACCGATACATACGTAATCTAATAAATAGGGATAAAAATATAACAATGCATGTATTGATTTATACATGTATTAGTTTATAATATTATAACAATTCTTCTTCTTCTAATGATTTTTTCTCCTTCTTATTTGTTACCTGTACAGTTCAAACAACGAAAAACATAAACAGGAGATAGCAACATTATTTGACAATACTAGTTGCTCAATCAAACAAAGTCAGTGTTTATAATCAAACAAAGTCAGTGTTTATACCAAAAACTCAATAGCTTGCCTTGTATAATTCAGCTATAGCCGAGACGTTCTTGCATACTATATTTTACAACACAAGTACTAAGTCATAGGGTGAAAAAATAAATTATGGTAAATGGTTGAATGTGAAACTATTGTATTGTAATTCTGTTTTAACAGTTCAGTGAAGTAGTTATACTATACACCCCTACTGATATATCAATGAAATATATCAATGAAGTGGTTAGTTTCACATACATATTATGTCGTTATGCAAGTGTATAGTTTAGTTAGTGAGTTTATACTAAGTCTAGTAGTTTAAACTAACTAACTAACAAGTGGTTAGTTAGTTAGATTGGTTGCTTAATCAAAATGCTATATAAATGTTGTAAATTCTATTTTGAGTAATATGAATGAAATATACCACCATTGTTACAAAAATAATCTCTCTTCATTCTAAATCCATCTATCCTTCTTTATACCCATTACCTTGTTTGACAAGTACTCCAACAGAAACATGTTAGTACATGCAGATAAATCCACAACCAAGAAATTATCGGTTCTCTAAAATAAATAAAGAACATCGCATCTAATTTCATAACTTGCGCATAGGAATGTGGTTTCACAGCTTCTCATCATTTCATTCTATTCACATTTCACTCACTTTAATAAAATGTAGAAATTCATATCTTTTAGAGCAGCCTCCTATAGGTTCACGTGTATCTTTCATGTCTGACCTACCATAGTTGAGCGAACCTCATAATGTACATATACTCTCCAAAATTATTCATTTTGCAATTCCAAAAAAATATGAAGTGTGCACGATCTGTAACAGTGAATCAAACTTGTGGTGATATATATAGATAGATTACTAGTTCATGATGAAAATGGACAAAAATTATTCATATTTTTTTGGTTTATAACATTATAACAATGTTTTTGACAATATTTAAATTATTTAATGCTTAGTATATTTTCTTGTAATTGTTTAAGGTTCAAAATAGTGTAAAACAACACATCACTTATTATTTAAGATTCAAAATAGTGTCTAGACATTATTTTTGACTAATTTCAATTATAGATTAAAAAAAAGTGAATAATTCTGGAATGAACCGAAGATAGTCCGAGTTTGGATGGTCCTTGTAAACCGCTAGCCTGACAACACGTAAAAACACGCAAAAACTGGAATGAATCGGAAAAATCGGCCGATTCACCTAACCGAAATAGGTTTTCAAAAACCTAGAATCCATTCCTTTATCTCCTTCGTATTGTATAAGATATATCTGGGAAATATTCTTTCCACCCTATATTTGTTTTCACATTATCATAAAAAGTCACAACTATCTCTAGCGTCCGAAAATGCATATTCTAACGCACCTTTTTAACACGCACTTCGAAGAAATTGCTGAGAGATTTTTATTCTATTAAAATATAATTCGGAGATGCATCTTCGTATGCATAAAAGATTAATTCAAAAATGCACATTCGTAACGTCCCTTAGTTCAATATTCAATGAGTTTTTTCGAAGATGTATCTTTGAAATATGCTTTATTAGTTCAAACCAAAAACAATGACAAAATAATGGAACAACAACATAAATTAACCTCAAAATATAAAAATTAACGTTACTTAACATAAATTTTACATAACATTTAATTATAAATTAGTGGTTCAGGACATGGCAACATCCTTAGAATATCTTCAGTCGATCTTCTAATCGTTGCGTCCACTTCAATCAGACCATTTGTTGAGTAACGGTAAAAAGTACTCCACATAACCTTTAAATTATTATTCTTCGGTACTCGAGCTTGACAACTCTCTGATTTTCTAGATATTGCATAAGAGTATTCATAAATCTGGATGGAATTTCTTGTAATTCTGATGTTAAATCAATGAATGGAATTTCTTTCTGATTTATTTTGTTTATGTTATCCTTGAATGAATATTAATGAATGATTTTTTATAGCTATGAATCTTGTGTGCTTGTTAACATATAAGAATTTTATCTTATTGAACTATTTTCTGAGATTTATATTTGATTCTAAGTCTTAAATTCAGGGGGAGTTTGCAAACTTAACTCTGAAATTTAAATCTAAGAATTATTTTGTTAAGAAAATTTTGTTAGAATAAAACTCAAGGGAAGCTTACAAACCTAAATCTGAACTTTAGATGATTGTCAGTGGGAGTTTGCGAACCTCACTCTGAAAAATCTAGCTAAGAATTTTTTAAGTCTAAAACTCAGGGGGAGCTTGTAACAGCCCGATTTTTAATAATTGATTAATTGTACTAGTTAGTTGGTTTGTATGGTTTAAGTGAACTATTGGATTTAACTGATTTACTATATTTGGTAGAATCATGAGGATTTATCAGATGTTTTCTAACCAATGTCAAAATGAGATATTTTATGAGAAAATGAATTGATAAATATTTTAAGAGAAGAATTATATCGGAGAGAAATGGAAAGGAAGGATATATATATATATATATATATATATATATATATATATATATATATATATATATATATATATATATATATATATATATATATATATATATATATATATATATATATATATATATATATATATATATATATATATATATATATATATATATATATATATATATATATATATATATATATATATATATATATATATATATATATATATATATATATATATATATATATATATATATATAGGGGAAGAGGAACGACAATGAGAAAGTGGAGGAAGAAGAGAAAGTAGAAGGAAAAAGAAGGAAAAGCTTGGAAAGCTCAAGAACGACTTCTAGCTTCCGATTAATCGAGGTAAGGGTGTGAAATCTTACTATCTTAATCAATGTGTATGATTATGTATGTGTGTGTTTGGATTTGTTGGGGGTTTCCTACATTTTTCCATTTTAGGTCGGAAGTGGATTTAATCGGTAAAAACTGAGTTTTATCGGTTAGAATTTGGAATAGGCGGTGTAGTATAGTCGGGTGATGAGTGAGGTGTGCTACTGGAACTAATTTGGATTAAATCGGTCGGTTTGTGAGGTTTGGGCTTTTGGACAGCCATGGAAGTTCTGAGTTCGCAGGTTCGCTAGGCGAATGGCAGCGAGGCTTCGCCAGGCGAAGCCTAGTGAACGGTAGCGAATCAAGTCAGAACCAAACGCCCTGTCTTCGCTGGCAAGTTCTCCAGGCGAATGAGTGTGGCGAAGGTTCGCCAAGCGAATGTGCTAGCGAGTAATTCTAGAATAACTCCCAGTGGTCTTCGCTGGCAAGTTCGACAGGCGAACGAAGTGGCAAAGGTTCACCAGAGGCTTCGCCAGGCGAAGGTTAGCGAACACATCAGCACATTTTCTTTTCTTGTGTTTTCCATTCGTGGATTGATTGTGTGGTTTGGTTGCGACCATTCCTTGTCTGAGATGACTAATTATATGTTGTTATGTGTACTGTGGGTAGTCGTATGGCGTGAATCCTAGATTCTGAATTGATTGTGAATATGTGGCCTTTTGGCATATGTGACGCGTTGTTTAAATTAATTAAAAATGCATGATAGATGTGATTGGGTTTGTTGTCGTTTGGCACGATAATTGCAAGAGCGTATTACTTATATGTGATTAACATGATGAATGCATGAGTATGTTTGTAAACATGTGTGCATTTCAAGAGTGTCATGAGTCATGTTGCATGTGAAGCATCATGGTATGCATTCTTGTGTTTATTGATTCCTCGGAGAATCTGCAGAACCTCGTGTGCCCTTGTGAGGTGCGAGCGATGGTTATTTATTGATTTCTCGGAGAATCTGCAGAACCTCGTGTGTCCTTGTGGGGTGTGAGCGATGGTTATTTATTGATTCCTCGGTGAATCTGCAGAACCTCGTGTGCCCTTGTGGGGTGTGAGCGATGGTTATTTATTGATCCCTCGAAGGATTTGCAGAATCTCGTATGTTGCGATGGTTATATTGATTCCTCGGAGAATCTGCAGAACCTCGTGTGTCCTTGTGGGGTGTGAGCAATGGTTATTTTTGGTTCTCCAATTGAACCTGCTGAAATGAGTCGGTACCGCATTTGCAT